GCAGGAAAGAAGCAGGAGGCAGGAGATACAGTTGTAGCTCTTCGCTCACTTTCCTACCAACTTCAGCACAAACCAGAGAAGGGGCTGCTTTAACAGGTTAGGGGAACAATACATTGCTGCTTGGTCATTAGATGCTTGAAATGAGCATGTGTTTACAGCAATTAAGGACTGACTGACAACAACATGCTTGTTTGTCTTAAAAGCAAGAACTTGTGTCTTGATTTTTAATGATGGGTTTACAATGGTATTTAGGTTTTGTGCATGAAGTTCAGATGAGAATCATAGAATCATAGAATCATAGAATCATAGAATCTTAGGGGCTGGAAGGGACCTCGAGAGATCATCTAGTCCAACCCCCCTGCCAGAGCAGGGTCACCTAGAGCACATCACACAGGAACTCATCCAGGTGGGTTTTGAATGTCTCCAGTGAGGGAGACTCCACAACCTCTCTGGGCAGTCTGTTCCAGTGCTCTGTCACTCTCACAGTAAAAAATTTTTTTCGGATATTCACCTTGAACTTCCTATGCTTCAATTTACACCCATTACCCCTTGTCCTATCACTGGTCATCACCGAGAAAAGCCTAACTCCGTCCCCCTGACACTCACCCCTTACATATTTGTAAACATTGATGAGGTCACCCCTCAGTCTCCTTTTTTCCAAGCTAAAGAGACCCAGCTCCCTCAGCCTTTCCTCATAAGGGAGATGTTCCACTCCCTTAATCATCTTCGTAGCTCTGCGCTGGACTCTTTCAAGCAGTTCCCTGTCCTTCTTGAACTGAGGGGCCCAGAACTGGACACAATACTCCAGATGTGGCCTCACCAATGCAGAATAGAGGGGGAGGAGAACCTCTCTTGACCTACTAACCACACCCTTTCTAATGCACCCCAGGATGCCATTGGCCTTCTTGGCCACAAGGGCACATTGTTGGCTCATGGTCATCCTCCTGTCTACCAGGACCCCCAGGTCTCTTTCACCTACACTACTCTCCAGCAGTTCAGCCCCCAACCTGTACTGGGACATGGTGTTGTTCTTCCCCAAATGTAAAACTCTGCACTTCCCCTTGTTGAATTTCATCATGTTTCTCCCCGCCCAATTCTCCAACCTATCTAAGTCTCTCTGAATGGCAGCACAGCCTTCTGGTGTGTCAGCCACTCCTCCCAGCTTAGTGTCATCAGCAAACTTGCTGAGGGTACATTCTATACCCTCATCCAGGTCGTTGATGAAGATGTTGAAAATGAATAAACCGAGAGGAGGATTTTTGAGATAAAATAAAAATGTCTTGGATACCCTTTGTCTTGAGGATATCTGTGCTTTGGCACAGACAGAGTAGTCAGGGTGATTTAACATGTGCTGAATTTCTTGCTATTGTGGCCAGACTGTCACTAGCAAGTGGGCTGCATAGTGTTTCCACTGGCACAGTACACAGCAGGTGCTGCCCTGGGGATGGACATTCAGGCTCATACTGCTCTGATGGAGGGGCAATAATGTTACTCAGTGTTACTTCCCACTACTAGAAAATGTAAATATTGGGAAATAAATCCCATTTGTAAAGATTAATTAATATATTCACTTCCCTGTCTTATGACATTGAGTGGCTCTTTGGTGGAAATGCTTGTTTAAAATTGCAAAGAATAAAAATCATGTATTCCAGACTTAGTGTGTTTCTGAGGACTGGAAGTCTTCTATGGCGTGTTTAATGTTGCATCAAATCTTCTATACCTACTGTCCATGTTTACCCACCTGTTTGTGTTTGTAATAAAATCTGAAACATCCCTGCTCCAACAAGGGGGTTGGACTTGACAATCTCCAGAGGCATCTTCCAACCCCAAACATTGTGTGATCCTGCAATCTGTTTTATTTTAGAAGCAATGTTATTCTAACATACAGCATAGCAGATAAGAGTTGATCCTTTCCTCAGAAGCCTAAGTATTTTTCACTTTTTTGTGTTTTGTCTACTTCTAAAAAATTATAAAGAGGGAATGTAACAGAGTATGAGGTTTTTGACTGCTGTGGGGAATATGAATTTATTTTCTACTCTTCTACAAAAAAAAAAAATCTGGGTTGACTTTAATGGGATTAGTCACTCTGTAGAGCTTACAAAATGAGAGCACTAGTGATTTGCATCACTTCCATCCAATTCACTGATTCATCAGATCATTTTGATTCATTTTTCTTCAGAGAAATAAAATACAGAAAAAATACTTAAATTGTCATGCCTTCTTTAAAACAGTCAATATACAATAAGACTTCCTCATCCTCTTCATTTGAAATTAAGCACAAGCAAGTTTAGCTTCACCTCTTTGGAAACTTTATGGGCACCCATTCTTCAGGACTCTAAAATGTGTAGCCAGGTTGAAAAATAGGTTTTCTTGCTGAAATTTAAAAGTGCAAATAACAAGTGTAAATCATCAGATTTTATATTGCTTCCTTCCCCATGCCCACCAAATTAATTAGTAGACTGAACAAACTTGTAAAAACTGCTGAGATAAAAAATGGTAGAAATGGATACGTTTTTTGAATGTACATCTTCTGGAATGTTTTATTTACTTTCCTGGTACTCATATGATGATAATTCTTTTCCAGGTGCAGCATTTTTATGTATGTATATATGCCTTTTCTTCCTCATAGTTCCAGTTCTGGCTTGTCAAGATTGTCAAGATTGAAAGCAGCTCTGTAGCATCTTCTGTTTTTATTGTCTGTAGAACTGTGAGCATCTTGAATCTGATTGCTGTTCTCTGAACTAACTCTAACTTTATCAAATCTTTCTACAGTTTTGCAGGTTGGAGTTACTCAGTCTCACTGTTTATCCTCTCTGGTTTTTTCTTTAGCTTAAATGAGAAGGTACAGTTTCACTGGATTTATTTACCTCTATGTTACGTATTTAAAGTGAATGCACCAATCTGTCCGGTGTCTTGTGGTAAAGGATGTCCAGTAGCCAAATTTAGAAGTGGGGTATGCATTACTCAGCTCTTTTGTTTTCAATGACCATTGCACTAGAAAGTCATGTCTGCCTTTAGTATTGCATCCTAGGTATGCAGGTTATTCTGTCAGTCATGAAGCTGAGAGAGGAACATGTATGAACTAACTGGATCAAATACGAAACTTAAGGATATGTTTGCATTTTTTGTTTGTTGCAGGTGATTAAAGTATATAGTGAAGATGATACTAGCAGAGCTTTGGAAGTACCAAGTGATATAACAGCCAGGGATGTGTGTCAGCTGTTGATACTGAAAAACCACTATGTTGATGACCACAACTGGACTCTGTTTGAACAACTTACCCACACAGGTTTAGGTAAGACTAATACTATACAATGTTATGGAAGTAAATAAGGTGGGTTTTGTTTTCCTCTTCACATAGAAGTACAATTGTAATAGAAAGGCTTGGAAGGAAAATGATGGGAGGGCTTGTGAGAATTCATTCTGTTGTACATTTGTTGTTTCTGCTTAGCTTCTTTTGAAAGCAAACCTAGAAGTACATTTTGCTGTAGTACATTTGCCTCACAGCGCTCAATCTGCATCTTTAAGAGTGATTTGGAAGACACTGACCATTAAGGTCCTCACTGCAAATTCTTTCTCACTCTTCCTTGCTTTTCTTTTGCAGTCTTCTTCTTTTACTGGTATTTCCTGCTTCTTTCTATCAAAACTTGGGTTATTTTCATTTCAAATAAACATTTGTTGTTCCCCACACACCTGAGTGAAGTTTCAGGCATCAAGGACAGAAGGCAGTTAATGCTATTCTGCCTGGACAATAGGACTCCATTCTCAGAACAAAAATCAGAGTAGGCTGTCAGTATTTTCCTTCAATACAATCAGTTTGCCTACGTTTAGTGTGAACTCTGGGACAGGACTACTTGAAAAGCAGAAAAAAATTCATCTAAACTTCCAGTATAGAAACACATTAAGACATATTAAATATAAGAAGAAAGTGGATGTTTGAAGAGATGTAAAAATGCAGAACACAGGAAAAACTACTCAGCAAAAGATGAGTTTAGAAGCCCACTGCTAGGATGTAGTATTGAACTGGTACTCTAGTCAGTCCTTTTACAGCACTGTTCTTCAGTACTTTATTGTGTTTGGTTTTAATAGGGAATTATATAAAAAAGTCTGCTAGAAGACAAATACTTTCATGTGGTTTTCATTTCGTGTCACTCAAAGTTTCCATATTATTCTTAAACTTCAGCACTGTACTAGAGTTACCACATGTAGTACTTCTGCAACCTCAAAGGCAGTTCCAGTTGCTAGTGCAAAGTGTGGCTTAAGAAAGAGGATGTTTTGGGGGCCTTCCTGCATTCTGAAATACATAGAAAGCTCCTTGGAGTATTTAATTCTCAGAAGGGTCATCTGCACTGGTAACTGGTAAATCCAGTGCTGTCCATTTTAAACAAACACCCACACCACCAAGCCCTCTCCCCCCTAATTAATTTTAGCCATTCATATGGCTAAAAGCTATTGCTAAACTCCCTTTCTGTGTGTGTATCTAGGGAACCTGGACTCATGCATTTGTGTAAAATAAACTTGACTGTGTATCTCCAACTGCATTAGGTTTAACAGCTGTATTTTAAAGATTAACTACAAAAGTTAAAGCTGTTTTCTGCCCTTTTCTGCTCCTTTATCCTATGAAGGCAGCTGCAAACGTTTTTCAGTTTGTTTTTTTCTTGCTTGGTAACATTTCAAAGATATTTATAACCTTTTGCATTGAATGTATTAGTTGTAAGATGCTTCCAGCTCAGAGTAAGGTCAGAGTTAAATCTGGATTGAGACTGTAACTGACTGATGCTGCAGAAGAGGAGGTATAAAAATGGCTTTAGACAACACTACTATATAAATAGTAGAAGTGGGTTTTGTATTTTATAGTGTGGCTGGTGTTTAAGTACTCTAGTGACTATTTAAGAAGACACTTCTGACAACCATGCTAGAGCAATAGTGGCATTGTTTCTCTAGGTTTGTTTATTTGCACAATACACTTTTTGTCAACTACTTTCTTTGCTTCAATCTGAAGGATTTCTTGAAAGATTTCAGTATCAAGTCATTACTGACAGCGTTTTTCCTAAGGTTCTGAAATTCTCCAAATTGCTGGCATGCAAGTCTGAAGAGCTGAATTCACCATGCAGTCTTCTGATTGCTCCAGCTGCTTTGGGCATAATTTTAGAAAAAGGTGAATTGTCCATTTTAAAAATACAATTATTTGAATTTATTTATTTAAATTATTTTAAAGGATGCAGATTCAACATTAGTAGACAAGGACAGGAACAACTTGAGCTATTTTTTTTCTTCTTTATAATACTGAATAATAGTGGATTTATTTTCTGATATTATTAGAATTGGTTTTGTTTGAAAGGTTGAGCTTAACTTAGCATTAAGTATATTAAGCACTGGATGAGTAGCTTGAACAAATAGTTTTCAAATTATCATTCAGTTTAGGCTGTTTGCTATTCATTATTCTTTTGTATGTTTTACCCATGGAAATTTGAACAGTCTTTTTCGGCTCCCAAGTTAAATGAATGGATATAGAAAGGAGAGAAGTACTGTGAGTGTGGGTGTCTGTGTAAGTTCCAGCAGGATGGAGATTAATTATTCACTCATCAATTAGTGAACATTTTCTTTAATATCTAACAGCTGTCTGAATACTCCTGAATTAGTTATGATTGCCTGAGTCTTAGTGAGCTGAGCACAGCGTTCTGCTTTTAATCAAGACAGACATTAATTACATCACTGGAGTGTGCCTTAATTGCTGTGTGAAGTTATCTGCATGTGACGGTTAAAAAAGAATAGAAAAAAAATCCCACCCAGAAGAATACATAAAACCATGGTCTGTAAATTCCTCTTTTCACAAACCTATATGTCCCTTAGTGTGGAGCTATATTGTTGAACATGAAGCAGGGTTGTGTCCTCACTCCATTGCATGCCCAGTGCTGACCAGGTGGTGTTGACTTGGGGCGAGTGGGCAGGTGAGGAGGTGAGGGTGCTCGCCAGGGATGCACCCACCTGCCTGTCCTGGGGCACCCACGCCGCCCACAGCCCGCATGCTCAGCCTTCCTACTCACCTCCCAGGTTTTCCAGTAGCCTGGGCTCTGCTTCAGTTGTCTGAAGTACGACAGTTACTACAGCACTACAAATGGCAATATCTTTTAGCGCTGTGTCTTTTTTATTCCAAGATATTGAATTAAAATAAATTCTTACATGTTTTTCACCTTGTCTAAGATTATTGAAGGCAGCTGAGGTATGCATAGATTTGGATGATGTCATGTCATCCCTACCAGCTGGTACCTTAGTGCTGGAGTCTCATGCTTCCACTGCAATTCCCCTGTACTTCATTCCCCTTCCCTGCTGAGTGGCAAGAGAGGAGACTATTTGAAATGTGATCTTTCATGCATTTCACTATTAAATCTTGTTTCAGGTGCTTTAGTTACTTCTCGTAGTTAAGGAGACTTTTTCTTGGGCTGCAAAAAGTGTTCCTTATGTTAGAGATAGTAGAAATAAAAATATGGTAGAGAGGAAGGTAGAAACTCTTCTGTCTAACCGGAATACAAAAAGTTACCTAACTAAACCAAGCTGCAGCTTTTTCATGGCAACATTGAGAGACTTCATTACAGGGCTGTGTTTTGGAGGGCACTGACACAATGTTTCAGTTCCTTCAAGCAGGTAAGTTGAATCAATTTTAAAATATGCTGCGATGTGACACCTTAAATATAAAGAAATGAAAGCATCTTAGCCATCCATTGGGGTAATGCAGAATGTATTATTTTTGTACCAAGAAGTAACTCTTAAGAAAATGGTATTTTCTTAAATGTCACCATGCCAAGCATATGAGTTTTAAATGTCATCCCAGAGGATCACTGTGTCTCTATAGAAGTGAAAGGGGAAAAAAATGTTGGTTTTGAGTAAGAGCTTCAGTTCTTCAGTGTCTCTTTTCCCTTGCATCTGAAGAAAATGTTTTGGAGTAGATCACCCTGTACAAGATGTTAAAATGCTTGCTTTATTTCAGTATTTTGGGGACATTTTTTGTTTTCCAACTTTTCTATGTTTTTATTTGCTTAATTTGATCATGTTACAAAACGTGAGTTTCTTGTAGCATCCTTAATCTCTGTCTTTATGATCTCAAGAATGAGTTGAATTCAATGAAGAATGAGTTAAATTTGAAGGACGCTTACCTTCCTCTGCTTGATCTGTAGATCATGACAGTGCTTTGTCTTCTGTTAGTCATGAGTTTGGTATTTTTCTGTTGAGGTGAAATTTAGCTGTATGAGTGTACTTTCTCTACATTTGCTAGCTGGAAAGTTTCTGAAGAAGCTTAGAGATTTGCAGACTACAATAAGGCTGTTACCCACCAGATTGAACAGTGTAGAAGCATGGAGCAGTGACTGGCGATAGAGGTGGCAAGAGAAGATCAACAGAAAGATGCTGTAGTCCTAAAGAGGCTTTAGTGATTTTACAGTTGAGGTTTGATTTTCATGTCCTAGAAAATTGTGCGTGCTACACTTTATGAAAGTTAGGCTCTTTGTTTAGTCCTATAAGTTTATTTGCAATTTTAGAAATGCTTCAGGACATAGTAGGGACCTTGGGAGAAGAAGACAAGTTAATGCTATTCTATATTGCAGATAACTTTCACTTTATGAATGATGCATCAGAGAAAGTAGCATTAGAAAGACATCCTGACACCCCAGACAGGCTGAGTGAATGGTTGCAGTGGTCTGCCTGCTGCACCATGTACCATAGAGTAGGAACTGCCTGGCTTCTGCAGGGAGAACTGGGATTTGGCCATGAAAGGCAATGAAGCCCTCAGCTGCCCCTCTACAAGAAAAACAGAAAACCTCACGTGTGACCTACCTCAGAGGTAGTTCCACCTGCTGAGCTGGAACTTGATGTAATGTTCTGATTAATGGACTGTGTACAGATTGCTTGTTTCATGTTCTCTGCTAGTTTAATTTAATTTAATAATAGATTTATTGTTGTGTTTTCAGATTCTACTCCTAGACTCTTAAGTGTTGGTTTAATTTTCTGTTGTGGGTTTTGTTTTGTTGTTGGTTTTTTTTACAGGAAGAGCTATAGAGGACCATGAGTTAGTGATGGAAGTCCAGTCAAATTGGGTAATGGAAGAGGAAAACAAACTTTATTTTAGAAAAAACTATGCCAAGTATGAGTTTTTTAAAAATCCACTGGTAAGTCCTGAGATTGTATCTGTAAAGTGGTGCAACTGCAGTTGCAAAATAGTATTTTCTGTTACACGCAGACAGGCAGGGTGTAAATCTGTGTCACATGAGTCAAAAGGAATAATTGGGAGGGAATATATGACATATAGGAGTATATTGTAGTGCTTGTAACTCTTGACTGATCACTTTCTTGCAATTGTAAAACATCCTTTTGGGGGGTGGGGCGGGGCGTGTGATGTAGGAGGCATACATGGGTTTATCTTTATTAAAATTTGAACACGGACCTACAAGAAAACAAAATTCTTGAAATTGAGTGAAGTTTCCATCAAGAGACAACAAAATAAAAAATGAAGCAGTGTGTGGAGAGGCATTTGTAGTAAAGATGATTTTATTATCAAAGTGAAAAGCAAATGTTATGGCCCAGCGCTGCCCAATGGCAGCTTCTCACAGCTGCATCTAAATAACAGCTGACCCAAAAGTCCATGAGCAGCCATAACCTATTAGGACTAAGTGAAAGTGAAGCCAAAGTTAGGATATGTAAGGAATGGAAAGAGAGCAGAGACAATTTGTGACTCAAGGATGGTGCCAAAGGTTAATGCTGCTGATTCAGACCTTGGCTAATGGCAGAGGCCATGGAAGCAGTCCTGACTCAACAGGATAAACTTGCCATCTGGTTGCTTAAATGCATGGTGTGTTTGGATTACTCCTAATGCTGTCTCTTACAAAGTCAGCTTGTTTCAGATGTCAAAGGGAGAAATAGTAGAAATGTAGGAGAACTTGAAAGGTGAAAAGTGGAAGGGAACTCAAATTATCTACCAGCGAAATGGTAAATAAGATACAAAAGACAGAAGAGATCTGAGAGTTTTTTCCTTGCCCCACCTTTGTTTCTCTAGGCAAATGATGTGCTCCCCTGACATGAAGATATCACTGCAGTAGTGAAAAATTCCAAGCTTGGGGTGCTCTACAGTTAGTAGAGAAGCTTTCAAAGAATAAGTATGTTTATGTATTGGTTAACCAGTGAATAGAAGCAGTTGTGGAGTGTGCCAGATATGTGGCTATGACTAGTATCAGCATCTGTGACTGAGCATAGTCCTTACTGTTCCTGTTGGGTCATTCTTTTGGGTACTGTGATCACAGGTGTATCAGAAATAAGTTGGTATGAATTAACCCTGCCAATACTTCAGTTTTATTAAAAATGGAAGTCAGTGGACATTGGATGGTCAAGGGAATATAAGCTTCAAACTTGTCTATCAAGTCTTAAGAAAACTTCACTAGCCAAACTTCCGGCTGGTTCATGTCTGCATTACTATATTGAACTCCCCAGCTAAAGATCTGTTCCATAAATTACCTCTTGAGCTTTCCTTGATAATGAAATTGGCATTAAAATGTGGACTTTTTAACCACACCATACTGATGTAATCAGATTTTTATGTCATTTAATATTAATACCATACAAAATAGGCATATAAAAAAGAACAACCTGAGAGGACTTGTTCTCTATTAATGGAAGTTATTCCAAAATATTTTGCTGGGTTTCTAGTATAATGAAAATGATAGAAAATAGTATCTTTTTCAGCATGTTGGTGTATATCCTCCCTACTTTTACTGTATTGAAGGCCCAGGCGAGTCTTACATGTCAACAGCAAGAGAAATTACTGCTAGAAGAACAACAGTAGGGGCCAAGTACTGCAGTATGACTTGCACTGGTGTATGAAACCCTCTTGCTTTCAGCGACCGCTGGTATTTTTTCAAAAGTTGACGTTTTTTTCAGCAAATAATATAGAGGACATCACAAATTTAGGAATGACATTACAGTAAGCTGAAATTATTGGATCACAGAATCTGCAGTGTCTTGCTCTGCATTGAGAACTTTAATTTTACATCCAAAAGAGACAGGAAGGTTTATATTTATTTTTACAGAACTTTGATACAAATTATTATCATTACAGAGCTTTTTTCCAGATCATATGATATCTTTTCCAAGTGAGACCAATGCAGCTGTAAGCTACTCTGGGATATTACAGGTATGTGATCTTTGAATGAAGATGAACCAACATAGCTCAGAATTTCCCATTGTCTGTGTTGGGTAAGCATAGCTCTTTGTCATTGTTGGATCTGTTGCTAGGATTTGAGTAACCCAAGACATAGTTTAATAACTTTTTTTCCTTTATAATATGCAAAGTGATGTGGATGTGTCCCTTACAGACAGTTATTATATGACCAAATTTGGAAACCTGCACATTCTTTCAGAACCAAGGAGTTCCAAAACAGACAAAATGCAGTAAAAGTGGTTAATACCTTTATTGGCAATTTCAGGTGAAAGACCCTGTTTCCTCAGCCAGTTTGGAGTGTTGCAGTACTCAGCACATACTTAACAGCAGGCCTTCGTAGAATACTCAGGAACTGGTAATGTGATAAAAATGGATATTAAAAAAGAGGTAAATGGTTAAACTTTATGATAGAAAATTTAGACTCATTAGTATGATTTGTTAGCTTGAAGGCTACTGTAGCCTTCAAAAAAATATATGGTAGGTCACTCAGTGTTAGTCATCTTTTACACGGACACAAGATTTTAATTTACAGTGGGAATAATTTCACAGAATGACCATATCAGGGATCATCATTTTATTTCTCAAATAGGGAAAAAATGAGTAATAAAGGTGGAAACACACACATCACTCTTGTTTGCTTGTCACTAGAAAAATTAATTAGTAGAAGAACTTTCACTGGTCTGAAGACAACAACCCCATATGTAGGTTCGAGGGATAAAGAACTGTTGGAAAGGCAACATAACAACACAGGATATTTAAGGTGGAAGTAAAATAAATGTAGAAATTACAGGATATTTTTTGCATCTGTGTGCTAGATTCTGCCTTGGCATCAACCAATAGATGAAAAATGTTAAAGAACTAATTCTCAAAGCATTCTCTATATCAAAGTTATATACTTACAGAGGTGGATGTTAGTGAGGAGGTTAAGATTATCCTAAATACAGTAAAAAATATTTCAATTTCATTGACATTTGCTAGACTCTGCAAATCATTTTTACAAACCTAAAAACGTGGCGATTTCAAAAGTTGCTGCCTATCTAATTAAGATTCATTCACTTTTGCTCCTTAAATAGCAAATAGATTTCCCAGTCAAATGTACACATGTAATTTAGAAACTCTTGCCCTTTGTCTTAATAGAACTTAATTGGTTTTGTTCCAAATGTAATTTGGTACCTAGAAAAAATAATAAAGACTTTTGTAGTGGAACTCTTTGCCTGTACTCTTGCACAGAACTTCCTTAAGCCCATATTGTGATATGTAGAACATATGCAGAGGTTGTGGGTAAGACAATCATTCTGTTGTCTGTTTAATTGTGTTTTGTCAAATAAAACTTAGTAGGCACAAAGTAGAGAATACGTTTGTGCATTGGGCAGTCAATTATGCAGGTTTCAGCAGAAGCAGTTGGGTGAATAGTTTACAGTGTGTCACTACTTCCTTGGAAACTTTCATTAAGACAAGTTAATGGTCTTGCATTATTATTTGTGATGTTGGTCAGGTATCAGGAGAGACATCAGTTTTAACAACTCAATGCTTACTATTGATAAAAAATAACTTCTGATACTTTTACAGCTTTTTGTGGATTGAGCTGTAAGCAAGTAAAATGTTTTTCAGGTATGTTTTCCTTGATTTTTATTGAAAGTGAAAGAGGGAGTCTTTTGGCTGATGACTTTAAATCAGAGCATCTAAATAGCCTGAAATAAAAAAATAAATAAAAATAAAGAAGTTTATCAGTCTCCTATCCTTTTAGTATGTGCTAAGTAAAATTACTAGGTCTGATGTATACCACATATCTATGTATGCCAAAGAGAGATTTAATCTCTGCCATGAAGATCTTTAGCTTAGAAGAAGTATCACTATAGTGATTAGAGTATGGCTGCTCTGAGAAGCATCACTGTATGTACATGTCTAGTGGTAGGTAGTATGGATCATTTGGAGCTTGCTTTAGTTGGATGCTTTAAAACATGTCAAAATTGAATGTGGTAAGAAGATTTTAATCTGAGGCCTCTTGCCATAGTAATGAAATATGCTATTATTTTCAGATTTTGGGTTGGGTTTGTTTTTTGAGGACTAGCAACTTTCACAGGTGGGCAATTAATTCACTTGGTATAATTGTTATTTCACTTCTTGATTTGATTTTGGTTTGGTTTTTTGTTGTTTTTTTTTTCCCCAACAAAAGACATTTATTTGCTTTGGTTTTTTGTTAAGATTGGTTTTTAAATGGTTGGTTTTACATGCAATCGTATCATAATTAAGTCCCTGGTGCTGTCATATGTTACTTGCTGAAAGACATTGTAACACAGACACCACCCTGCTTGTCATGTTGTATATTTCACTGTGTGGGGGCAAGGATCCAAGTTTATTTCTGTGTATTGGGTGACCAGAAATCCTTGTCTGCAGCATACCATCAGGTAACTCTCCAATATTAAAGATTTCTTTTTTTTTTTTTCCATATTTTTGTCTTATTTTTATTACCTCTTGCCTGCATAAATAGGGATACAATCCTTCTTATTACAAAGTTGCATGTACTTCCATTAAAAAAACACCAGCAAGCCAAAATAACAACAAAAAAACCTCAACCAAAACCAACCCACAAGAAAAAACCCTGAGGAAGTTTTCTGCTATGTTTAGTTTTAGGTATTTGTTGTAGGCAGTCTGTTCTCACTCTGAAATATTTTTGCTGCTCATTCCTTGTGACAGTTAATGGTTTTAACTAAAGCTTGTTCATGTTACATTTTCTGACACAGTCCTCAGCTGTCTTAGAGAGAAAAAGATGGATCTAGGATTGCCTTTTTACTAGCATTATTGCTACTTTATTTTAATTGATAGCATGGGTAAAACAGTGACTGTTGAAGCTGAGCTCTGTGTCGCTTCTCCACTTAGCCAGCTGAGTAAGAAAAGCATTTTTCATCACAGCACTTCTGTTTTGAAGCTCTTGTGGCAGAAATCCCAGGGAAGATACTTGTGCAGGCTGGGAGCCAGACACTCTAATCTTCAGCAGAGAAACTAAAGCCTAAAAAGATGCTCTTTTGGCTTTACATACATTGACTCTTTTAAATTCTCCTAAAGCCTCCATTTGACTTGTTTATGGACTTGAATACTTTTTCAATGCAGCCTTTATATTCACCATCAGTGAACCTGCTAATATGTGGCAAGTAGGAAGATTAACAGGCTGGTACACCTACCAGGACCTACTCATCTGCTTCAGTGTCACTGAAATTGCTTAAACTGCATTTGTATGCAGCGGCACACACAGATAGATGTACCTGGCCTTGCTCTAATTGAGCTCTTCAGGTGAATAGCAGTGAAACCATTCATAATCCATTCCTAGTTGTGTGACAGGGCACTCCCCTGTCAAGTGACACCTGCCCATGTTACTGCATTCACAGCAACTGAATTTCATTAGCTTGGGATGGTCTGCAGGTGGTACAGTCAAGCATCTGACTGCAAGGTAGGAAAACAATGCAAGTGAAAGAAACCTTGTGTAGCTCAGTTGGACTGCTTTATTTAGTGGCCAAAGAACTTGGTGTAGTTCCAAAATCACATTCACTTAATCATTTTGCTGAAGTGTGGTATTGGCCAGTCTGCCTCCTGTCCAGTGATCTGTTGCTTTATGTCCTCAAATCAGATTTTCTGGAAATGGCAATGGACAGGGGGGAAAAAGTGGCAATGGAAGCTGCAGATATCAACCAGAAAAATCCCTTGTTCTCTACTGTATATGCCTAGATAGTATTTATGATTCTGCAGGCCAGTCTGGGGAAAGGTTTCTTGAAATGCTTAGTAACAACACAGATTCCTTTGCATTTATGGAAATTGAAGAATTTCAGGTTAGTCTGTTTTGATGTGAGTCATAGTTCTGTGTAGTTTTATTGGAAGAAGAGTAGTAAAAATGAATACATTATATGGAATTAGAATAAAGTTAGCATGGTTGCCAGCTTTTAGTAGGTAGTTTTGGAGACCAAGTGTCCTGCTTTGAGCCAGGATGAAGCCAATTTGTCTTCATCCTGGCTCAAACCAGGACACCGAGGAAAACCATACTTGGTCTTAGCAAGATAACAGAAATGTTGCACTCTTGACAACATCTGGTTGAAATGGCTAAAGAGAAGCCACTGAATTCCTTGAGCAGAGGCAGTGCATCAGTTAGCTGCTATCAGTGCATTACTTAACATCTCTGTCTGACTATATAATTCTGCCTTTTCTATGGCTTGTGAGAGTGTGCACCTTATTCTTGCAGTTCTGGAGGCAAAATGGCTGATCCCTCTTTCCTTTCTCCCAGTGCAGCTTTTTTTTTTTAATGCTCTCTGCCACATGACCTTGAGCACAAACAGGAGCTGACTTGGTAACTGGCCCAGCCTCTCCTGTTTCTGGTGCAACTAAAGCTCCTAAAGCTCCTATTAAAGCACCACTTCAGGTCCTGCAAACTGTTTTCCCTCCTTTTGAAACTGGTAATATCTGCCTGACCTGCATGGTTTTGTGATTCAGATTTTGTGGTTTGTTTCCTGAATTAATTTTGGCTCAGATCAGTTCCCTTATCTGGTTTATAAAACAGAAGGGGGGTGGGGGAGGGATGGCTTTTTTTTAATTATTCTTTTCATAGCATTGATTTGTACTTTTATATAAATAGGGTCTGCAAAATGAGATCAGAACTTCTTACACTGAAGTCAACATATTGCATAACTCATGTTTGCATGTCAAACCATAGGCTTTATATAAATATGTACCTTGCTTAGCATACCTTGGAGTTCTGTAACATTCTCCACACCTTATGTTTTATATAAATATGTAACTTGCTTAGCATACCTTGGAGTTCGTTCTGTAACATTCTGCACACCTTAAATCAGAGGCACTCTTAATGAAATTAGATGCAATCATAACTGAATTACTGTGGTGTGACAGTGGATTTAGGGGTTTATTCCCCTTGGTCCTGTATGAGTATGTTAACAAAACAGAAAGCTGGTTTCAGATGAAAAGAAAAATGCAGTCTGATATTTTCTTTCAGATGTTCTTAAGCTCCAGCACGTATCCTGAGATTCATGGTTATTTGCATGCAAAGGAGCAGGGCAAAAAATCGTGGAAAAAACTGTACTTTCTGTTGAGAAGATCTGGCCTTTATTTTTCCACTAAAGGTACATCTAAGGTAAGGGAAGGAAAAAAGGGAACAATGAAGAGAAAATGTGTATGTATTTATCATTTCTTATAATAATAGTGAAAATTTGAATTTCAACTTATAGTCATAAAAAGGAAATAAAATATTTATTGTAGATAAAAGCTAGAGATATATTGAAATATGAAATTGGGGAACTATTGTCTTAGGAACAGTAGAATCTTTTTGCCTGATAATTTTGCTTCATTCCAGTTAATATTTTTCCAGTCAGTTAACAGAGTGCCCTTTGTAATGAAAATTCTTAAGTAGATGCTCTGAAAGGTGGACATAATTCTTCATTATCTAAAATAAAAACAAACCTGTGTATGAAAGCTTTTTACAGGGAGATTTTGAGAGTTCTCAAATTTTGTCACTGTACACTGTCACAGTTTTTCAGATCGGGAAAGTATATTTGATGTTTGAAAGACACAATGATCTCAAAACTTGACTCCTACTCATATTATCGTAGCTTGAATTTAGTGGATGCTTTCCCAGAACTGACAGCACTTGTACTTGGGTTTTTCTCCCTCTCTACAAGAAAAAATCCTTTGACTAGTTTGAGATGTTTTTTCTCTGCATTGTAAAATTAATGTTGAATTCTCTCTTTCTAGATTTCATGATGTCACAGTTAAAACTGTAGTCTGCAAGACTCTATTTTGGAACAGGATAACTACAATATATACTCTTGAGTTTCTTACCTGGAGAGGCTTGCTAAAAATAGTCTAACTGTATTACATTGCTCTTCTTTTTAGGAACCAAGGCACCTGCAGTTTTTCTGTGAATTCAGCAATAGTGATATGTACATGTCTTTGACAGGCAAAAAGATTTCTGGAGCACCAACAAACTATGGATTCTGCTTTAAGGTACAAGCTTATTATTCTGATACATATTAAAGCAAGCCACAGTTTTTAGGTAAGCTTAAGTTTCTTAAAGGTTTTTGAAAACAATATTCAGCTGTTTATTATAAAATAGGAGAATTAGTGGCTTTTATTTCAACAGGTATTATCTTCAAGATATGCATTAATGCTAAAAAAATGTGCTGTGGCCTTCTAGCCTAACAAATCAGGAGGAAGCAGAGACCTGAAACAGCTCTGTGCAGATGATGAGCAAAGTAGGACCTGTTGGATGACAGCAATTAGGTTGCTTAAGGTAATTTTTCTGTGTGGACATAACTTCTTGCTTAAATTTACTATGTGACATTTTGATACTGTGCAGTAGAGAAGTAACATAATTCTCAGTTCCTATACAATGGCTATATCAATTTTGTATTCTGAAAGATTGTTTTTTTTCATCCCAACAAACTGAGAGAGACCAAATTATTGGAATTGTTGTCAGGAATGGGATGATGGCTTGAAGCCTCAGTCCTGCAAATTCCTAAATACTTAACATTAGCCTATGCTTGTATGTAACAACGCTCAGTTAGTTGAGATTGTTGAGTATTGTGGATCAAAGCTACAAGAAGAGAACTTTACTATTTTTTAAAAATGTGTCTGTTCATGACAATGTAGCTGTAGGTCACTCAGTGTATTCAATGGATAGTATTTAATGCAGAGTGTACATTTATGAAGGCAGCAATAGCAATGACAACTGTTGTGCATTACCTTAACCCTAGTAGTATTTGTCCCTGGTTTTGATGATAAAGGAAAGTATGTGCTGTCTATTACACCTGGAGAAAAATTACTTGGATTAGGTTTATAATTTTAAATGCTAACCATGTTCTTTTCTGGTTTTAGTATGGGATGCAGCTGTATCAGAATTACATGCAACCATATCAAGGTAGAAGTGGCTGCAGCCCTTTGAATGTAACACCTATGGTACGTCCCACTGTAGCTCTATGAATAAATGATTTTTTTTTTCTGCTATCATGCTATTTTTAAGTAACTTGTGTCAGCTGTACTACTGAACTTATCCTGCAGATATTTGCATGTCTGAATGCTTGCTGAAAATTTTGGGTCTGTCAGGGTTGACTAGAGAGCTAATTAATAAATTTGCTAAAAACAAATTTGGTAGTTCAGATGAGTTAACAGGCTTTTTCCCTTTGTCAAATCTCCAGTATTTTCGGACTTCACTGGTTTATCATCACAGTCAAAAAGAATGGAAAGAGGAGTTTGAAAACAGAGCAGCAGAACTATAAATGCATTAAAAAAGAAGCAAAGTTTTAAGTTTACATATACTGTAAATTATTAGTAAGAAATCTATAATACCCTTTTCAGTACACAGTAATGCTCACATGTATAATTTTTCTAAAATATAAAATTTTAAGTACGTAAGATGAATTTCAGCTGGTGTAATACTGACTGGACTTGAGAGGAACACTGTAATTTGCAGAATTGGGTTTTGGAGGAATAACAGCCTGTACTAGATACTGTGTCCATTTCCTCAGTCATATACTTGGGATTGGTTCAGGTTGTCCTTTTCTTTACTATCTTATGCTATCCTAGTTCATTATGAGTCACTTGATCACAGACTTTTTCATGGATGTTTCATACCACTTGTGTTTTTTGTTGACTAAACTGGATAAAAATTACTTGTCAGGTCTTGGGAGAGTGATTTTATGGTGGATTTTTTTAGCTCTTGCTATAGTTCTTGCTGTTAAAATGTGTAAAATATGCATTCATGTATACTATAGGTACTCCCCCAAAATAGTTTTCAGTAATATTGCTAATAAGTATGGCTTTAAGGTTGTGCTTCATACACCGACTGTGTCTTTCTGTTATATTTCTGGCTATATAGCCAACTGCTGCTTTTATAACAGATTTGGGAGCTATTACTGATTCTCTCTCCTCTTACACTGTTGTGTGCTAAAAGCTTATGTAGCTTCTAACACAGGCAGAATCTATAACCAGTACGAAGCACGGCACTGTTTTTCTGCTTGTGTGTAATTCATTAATTAAACAGCAAATGGGATAAACTTGGGAATTAAGTGCACAAGCTAATGAACATACTTCATAGGGGAACCACTTCACATTCCTCAATAACTCACAACCATGTCAGCTACAAGGAGTTCCACTCTCCTAAAAGCAACCATTTTGTCTTTTTTTACTTTCACAAAGTTCTTTACAGGTTACAGTTACTCAGGCAGACCTTGATTACAGTGTCAAGAATTACAGCAAACTAAAGAATTGCTGTCTTGCATTTCTAGTTATATTTGTGCCTATGACTAAACAGGCACAAAACAGAGCTGCTTTGGTTTTTGGACTGGGAAGCTTTGCTAACTGTACAGAAATCTGGGCCTCTTGTGTTCCAGATGTTAGTTTAACTTACACAATGCTAGAATGTTCTATTAATTGTTTGATATTCCAGTGTTTGCCAACATTTGAACCCTCACAATCTGTATTAAACTTAAATTTGTAAATCTTAGTTTCTGAGAAGTATTTGGGTGAATTTTAAGACTGTTTTGTCAAACTTAAGTGCTTTTTATTCTATTACTAGAAATGTCATCTTCTCTGGGAGAAAAAAACAACAAGCATTTAGAAGGGATTACAAGTTAAACTTCATAAACTTCTGGCTGTTTTCAGTTCTTAAACCAGTAAACTTTGAGTGGAAGGTTACATACAGAATGTAAAACATTATTATGTGTTTATAGCAAAATATTTCAAATATTTGTTAATTTGGGGGCTATGTATAAGAATTTTATTTTTTAGCTTTTTTTTACTTGGACAAGTAAGTAACAATCTTCTGACTTGTTTTTAGATGCAAAGGGCTAGTGATAGTCAAACATACAAATAGAGTTTATGGTAAAGCAATGTATTTATCTTCTACTGCAGTAAAGCAAAAAGCTGATCTGTACTGCCAGACTGTAAAATTCAGCTTTGCAGCAGCATACTGGAAATACTAATGCTCCTTAGGGTGAAATGAGTTTGGCTCTGATGGGAAACATTGCAGATACTTGGAACATCACTGACAAAACAGTGTTTTCTCAGAAGCTCATTTTAAATGATGAATTGTTTAAAAAATTAACAAAGTTTATTGACAAGCTAAGTTTATTTTTCTTTGTTGCAGAGAAGCATTTCAGAAAATTCTTTAGTAGCAATGGATTTCTCAGGACGCAGAAGCAGAATCATAGAAAATCCAGCAGAAGCCCTTTCAGTTGCAGTTGAAGAAGGATTAGCATGGCGGGTATAAACACCTTTGCTTTATCAGAATAGCATTTTCTGATTCTTTTTTTAAACAAAAAAGCTTTGAAAACATGTTTTTACTTCTCTCATACAGAGGAGAGGGTGTCTACGACTCAACTCACATGGTAGTCCTATTGCCATGTCTAACATGGGTATGTGTGAGTTACTTCAGTGCCAGAGAAAGGCAATAGCTGGTTCTTTCAATAAAGGCAATACATTTTTAAAGATGTTTATTTCTACAGCTATACACAGATCTCAGTCATGGTTTCATCATAAAATCTCTAGAGAAGAGGCTCAGAGACTTATTTTGCAGCATGGACTTGTAGATGGGTAAGATAATTCTTTAAATAACTCTTCTGAGACACGTTTCTAGTCACCAACTGCTGTTTTCCTGTACTTCTTATCGGGGGGGAGATGGAGGAAGGAAGAGTTTGCACTTACCTAATAGAAATAAAAAATCTTTTATATAGGGCTATCTGGGGATCAGATGGTTTCTTTTTTATATCTTTTTGAAGCAGTAAAGTGGTGATCTAACCCTTCGATTCTGTCACTGACAGATTACTTATGTCTCAGAGCCCAGCACTTGAGCTCTATGTTTGCACAGTGTTCTCTAGGAATGGTCAACTTTGGCACCAGTGTCTTTTGTGTATTTTGTATTAGTGATGAAAAAACAAAAGAAAGCCTGAAAACATTTACTACCCTTTTCCTAAAATGAACTGTGCAGAGACAGCCATTGAAAAAAAAGTATGCTTTTCCTTATGAAATAACTGAAAATTGTATTATCCCACAATGGTAATCAATAAACATTAGGTTAAGACTACTGATTTTGTTTTTCTCTCATTTAATTATTTTTTTTTTTTTTTAATGAAAAAGCAAATATATTTTATCTCCAAAGCTTCTTTCTGAGATGTTAATCTGTAATTGTAAATAAAGTCTTCTGTGTTGTGATCTAACCCTTCGATTCTGTCACTGACAGATTACTTATGTCTCAGAGCCCAGCACTTGAGCTCTATGTTTGCACAGTGTTCTCTAGGAATGGTCAACTTTGGCACCAGTGTCTTTTGTGTATTTTGTATTAGTGATGAAAAAACAAAAGAAAGCCTGAAAACATTTACTACCCTTTTCCTAAAATGAACTGTGCAGAGACAGCCATTGAAAAAAAAGTATGCTTTTCCTTATGAAATAACTGAAAATTGTATTATCCCACAATGGTAATCAATAAACATTAGGTTAAGACTACTGATTTTGTTTTTCTCTCATTTAAATTTTTTTTTTTTTTTAATGAAAAAGCAAATATGTATTTTATGCTCAAATCCTCCTGGATTTTTATCTCTGTATTTTTATCTTTGCTCCTATATTAAATGTAAACTTCAGCCTCCTTCATTCAACGAGTCATTCCATAAAAGTGAAGTTTTTCTGAGTCTGTTTCCGGTTAGGTACTTGTACTACCAGATTACTGGTTAAATACCTTCAGTTTTAGATTAAGTATGTTGTAATACTGTTTTCTATAAGTGCAGAAAGGGCTTTATTGGGGGGGGGGAAAGGGAAGGAGAGGGAGGTAAAAATAGTCGTAATCAACAAGTTCTCATGTGCTTTAAGATACATAGTCAGGAGTTACAATTAAGTCATTAACACATTACAGCATGTGTCAAATGCTGTGCTATTCGATGGGCTGAAAGAATGACTTATTACCAGAAATACAGAAGTTTGCCATGACAATAATATAATTTTTAGTTTCTGGCAGCCTTTTAAGGTGATCCCAAGTGGGGAGATCTCCTTCATGTATGACAGAGGTGATACGACCTCTGTAATACTGTGTGTACCAACAAATATGCTGTTCAAAAATGCAACTGATAATTCAGATAATTCCTTACAAATTTATGAAGAATCATTTGTTTGGAGTTATCCAGCATGTCTAAAAAGCTCCCTTTCAACCAGCATTTCTAAGATTCTGTGAACTAAAAACCTTTCTTCATAATAAAGTGATCCTTTTAAAGGTTCTTTGACAGTTAAAGTAGGTCTAATGTGATAAGGTTAGAAAAGAGTATGAAGGAGTAAAAAATTTTGCTCATCTTTTCTGTTAAAGTGAGGAAAAAAGTAAGAAAATGTACTTTTAAAAGAACTGATGATTGGGAACATAAATCCTAACCAACTTATATATTCTTTCTTGCTCAATGGTGATTACTTTGTATTGTTTAATGTGGATCAGAGCATCTGGGTCACTGTAGAGAAAACATTTGGGATATCTGCAAAACGACACATTCTTATCAGTGTCATTTTTCTGAATAAAATAAAATGCTAGTCCTTAATGACAAACATCGAAAAGATTTAAGTTTATGAAAAGGATCTATCTAACTGCTCTGAAAAATTTCATTCATGACCTGGAGAGGGTAGAAGGCCACTAGGTGGTGAGAGAGAGCTTGTTAGGAGAGCCCGAGTCTATTGAGAACTCCCGTTACAAGACTTGCCGGGTGCTGGTACGAGCCGTATGCTGAGTTGGCAATTATCCTTCTTTAATAACTGAATTAGTGTCAGAGCTCTAAATTAGAGAGCATGGGGATTTTTTTAGAAGTGTAAACTATTATGACCTCCAGATTTCATAATTCCAGGTAATTTTCTTTTTAAAAATAGAACTCTTAAAACTTTAAGGATGTGATTAGTAGTTTGGATCCAGCACCCTTATGCAGTGAAAATGCACTGTAAACCTTTGTCTTGTTTCTTCTCCTGAAATCCTTACTTTTCATATAATAGTTGTGCTCTAATTCCTGGTACGTGGTTGGGCTAACGTAGGTGGCCACGAGTGCTCACTTAGTTGATGCCTGCAAGTCCATTTTGCCCATTTCTTTTGTGTCCTGAAAGAGGAGCATGATTGCCAGTGGCTGTTCCTCCATTTCCCTTGGGCACATTGGTTAGCTGTATCTCTTCCAGACCTGCACAGTTCAAACCATTCAGACTCTCTCCAATACAAATTTGTTAGTCAGGTACTTCCTTCTGTCCTCCAAACTGTTACCTACCAATATTCCAAACCCAGTGATTCAATGAAAGCTGTCTCTTGCTGGTTGTCATCCTTTGCCTGTACCAGATTATCCTACCCGGGATTATTGTAAAATTCTGTCTGGCCAAAACCTGGCTGGAATGAGTTACCAGTGAAATAGTTGCAATGACACTGTTGGCCATGGAGAGTGTTGTGATTTGAATAATGATGCCATAAAGTGAGCAGATAATGGCTCTGTCTCAGTGGGAATTGTGCCAATGTGCAGAAGTGAGTTTGCCTGTATGAATATATTGGCCAGCTGTGAAAATAATTCTTATATGTCTTGCGTTACCTTTTCTGCAAACTTCCCATTGAACTGCCTTTTGGATTTTCCCTATAACACTTGAGATTTTGCTAAATGCCAAAGTACAAAGAAAAATTTTGTTCAGAGCACAAACTTTGAGGTTGCTTTTCTGTCTAAAGGGATACATTGCAATTCTGTTTTGAGTGTCAAAACTAACACCTACAGCATCATTCATTATGAGAATGCATAGTTTTCACATAATAGACAAGGCCGAATAAAAATTTAAGCAAAAGGATTTTCAGTAACATATTTGCAAAGAAATACTGATTTAAACAATATTAATAATTAATTATGAATACGTAATTAATATTATTTTTGCTTTTCACTAATACTTCTGCAGTGAATTTACAACAGTTTTTAGTTGATGTTTACAGAAGTCTTTCCAGAGTGATCTTACTGTGAAAATTTTCAATCTCTTCTAGGGTGTTCCTGGTACGTGATAGCCAAAGTAACCCCAAAACATTTGTATTGTCATTGAGTCATGGATTGAAAATAAAGCATTTTCAAATTGTACCAGTAAGTAATTTTTCCAGTTTATAAATTCAGTTGTTAAACAAAACAATTGAATAATTGTGATAGAAAATCTCTGGAATATTTTTGTTTTGCTTTATACGTAGGAGATAAACATTATAATAACTACATCACTAAAGATAATTAGTATTCTTGAGTAGAGTTGAACATTTTTGAGCTTTTCTGTTTGATTTGTTATAAAACTTGAGTATTATGTAATGCTAAAAATTGTCTTGGAAAAATAGACAAATCTATGAACTGGAATAGAAGCAACACTCATGGCATGAAAATAATGAATTAATAAAGGTCATACTGTGTCTTCATTTTGCAAAATGGGTGCGTTTTCTTTTTAGTCATCTGTTCAAGTGGACTGCCTATGGTATATGTGTGTGTGCATATCTCACTGACTCATCTGTTCAGGATAGTTTCTCTCAATGTTTGGAATCAAGCATTTTATCTTGACCTCTCTTCTTGATTCATGTTCTTGTTGTATATTCATGTCCAGGTCTTCGCAGGGAGAAAAATTTAGAAAAAATTTAAATTATTGTTTAGACCAGCTACTTGTAGGTATGCTGAAATTTCCTAAATTGAAATAGTATTTCCATCAGTTTTCCATCAGAATGGGATATCATCCCATTCTCCTGCCAGAATGATCAGTTTTCCTCATCCCTCCACTCCCTCCAGAGGTGGTTTATTCTGTTTTATTTACAGGCTGCTTCTGTTGAGATGAAGTTTCTAGATTCCTGTTGAAGTTTCTAGATTCTGCTGTTTCTCAGTAGAAATGTGTAATTGCATTTTGTTTGTGTCTGATCTGGTGATCCCCTGTGATCTTTCATCAAATTTCTGTATGCCTCACCTAAGGCTTCTAGCTGATATCCTCCCCTAAAAAGGTTCCTGTAGAATATAACTGAATAATTATTTGAGAGGAAAAAGGAATTAATCTGTTTGTTAAAAGAATTGCCCAGGATTTTAATTGTGTTAAGTACAAGCACTGGAGGAGTCCTTCATTCAAAAGGGATAGCTATCCTTTGTGAGCTTCAGCATATGCTCTGTGATCAGAATCCCAGGTGTAAGATCTCTGTGCTTCTATTGACTGTGATTGCTTCTAGTATTTACTTTGGGATAACTATTGTGTGGTTTAGAAAACCTTCTGAACTCTGTACAAACACTGTATGGTCTACTTCATTGGAATGTCATTTAACTCTCAAATTTAAGACACCACTTTTTCTTTACCTATCAGGAAACGGACCCTCTCCTCTGTAAGAGAAAATGTATAAGAAAGCTGCTTTTCTTTGATTTCCTTCAACTTGGATGATTCTCCTCTTCCTTCCAAAAAATTTATCCAGTCAATTCTAATGTTCTTTTGCAGATGGAAGCAGTGCATTTGAGGAATTCATCATAAGCACGCATGCTAAAATCTTGCTCTCCTGTTTGTAGGAACCAGGAATTCTTTATTTTGACACAGATTGTCTACAGACTTGGGTCGATTTTTCCATGCTAATAGTCTAGAAGACCCGTACCACCTCAGTGCAAAAGCTGTCTTCCTTGAAGAAAATTTTTAAAAATTATTTTTAAAGTAAAACAATTTATCCTATGCTAGTTACCAGAAAAAATAAATCTGTAATGAGAGCAACTTAATCCAGAGACAGAATATAGAAACTTAGTTCCCCAAATATATTTCATTTCCTGCCTGTCATTTACATTTCCAGTTGCATTCAGAGTCCCTCACACCCTTCTCAATACCCTGACTTACTGCACACTCTCTTTTGCTAGAACATTGCTCTTTAAGGAGTTCACAAAATTGTTTTTTTGAGGGGGGCAAAGGTTTGGCTTCCAGTTGCTACTGATCTTCAAAATTAAGTTATCATTTTCTAAGAAACATGGCATTTTCTGTTACTGCAGTAAGTTGGTAGCTTATTAGTTGCAGAACAACTTTTTGAACTTAAAATCCTACTGTTCTTCTAAACTCTTGCCTTTTTCCAGTCCTTGGGAAGTGAAGATAAACTTTCCTAGTACATGTAAATAAATAAATGGCATTTGGAAGGTATTTTTCAAGTTAAAAAAATCATTCAGCCTCTGAATGAATTGTTTTTCTCTTACATTTTGGGTTGATTCAGGTTATACTGCATTTAAAAATGTCTCTTCAGATAGGGCATGCAGCCTGCCAATTCAAGCTTCCCCCACATTAACAGGTGCACCATGTTAACACTGGTAACATGTGCAACTGGTATTGCAGGTGGGTGGCAGGGAATTGATTGTAAAAAGTTGAAAACCTTTGGGATACATTTGTGATCCCATACTGTGAAGAGCTTAAATGTATTTTTTAGCCTTGCTACTCTGAACTGATAGAAGTTAACTTCAGTGTCAACTGAAATTATCTGTTCTGTAGTCCATGCAGAAGAAGAAGGATTGATACATATTTCTGGAACTGTCTTTTTCCAATAAATTTTCTCTCATAACAGCCTTCTTAGCTCGCAGAAGTTGTTAAGTTCCTGGGCAGTGTACATTTGATAGGAGTGTTTACTTTGCAAAATACTGATTGCTCTAGAATTAGCAATCTGCCTGGTATTAATTTCAAGGCTTGGGATTAACTCAGAGAGAGAAAAATAAGCCAAAAATGAAATTCTGGTCAACAGACATCTGAATTGTCAACTTCTTGTCTTCAATGTCTTGGCAGGAAAATTACATGTATAAGAGAAGGCCAATGGGTAATAATCCATTTTCAGGTTCTTTGCTAGATAGAGCACAGGACTCTGCAGATACACACATCAGTTATTCCTTAACGAGCAGTGTTTGACTGAGTTGACCAAAGTCTGAGAATACAGAAATAATAACTACTTGCAGACATGGTAGAAAGGAGTAGAATAACCAGGAGTTATAAACACTTCAACAGCTGCATCAGATAAGAAATCTTAATAATGGTAGGAGAGCTAATTATATGTTCTCCCTTCCCCTGTACTGCAGTAGGATAGTTGCATCCTTCCCCAGCACTCCATCTGATACTCTGTGCTAGCCCTAGTTCAGGATCTTCTGTTCACTACTCTCTCAATCTTATAAAGTATCTTTTTTCCCCCCTTTTCTTTTTTAAAATAATTACCCTTCTTTACATTAATACTAATTAGTCACTATTGCACTGAAGCTTCTTGATATTAGACATATTAGCAGTAGAGAAAATAAACTCAAATGTGATACAAATTGTGCAAGAGCTGATGTTCAGTAAACTAGAATAGGGAAACACAGATAGTAAATTTTTAAGCATGTAAAACTAAAAACTAACCTTTCAAGGTATGTTTTGCAGTTGGGGGGAATACCATAGCCAAAGAGAATTTTATTCTATCATGTTTTTCCATTTTTGCAGTTAGAAGATGATGGGAAGCTATTCTATACCCTTGATGATGGTCATACCAGATTTACTGATCTCATCCAGCTAGTGGAATTCTACCAACTTAACAAAGGAGTACTGCCTTGCAAGCTAAAACACTATTGCGCACGAATTGCTCTTTAACCAAAGCATATGTTGGTCCATCAGAGGCAAAGGAAGATACCACAGTTCTTTTTTCCACTACAGGCAATTTGTAGAATAAGAAGGGGAAAAGCATTTCATTGTAAAGATTCTGTGTTTTAACTGAAAAAAAAATGATGTTCTATATAGATAAGGACTTTGCATTGTGATTGTCACAGCAAAATTAATGTTATGGTTTAAAAAAAAACACACCATCCTTCCCATTGTAATTCTTTAATGTTGTCTTGGACTTTGGCTCTTTTTTTCAATTTAAAAGATTTTTAAAAAAATAATATTGTGTAACTTCTACAACACTATGACTGAAGGAAAGATCTTTGTTCTTAGGTTTAATATGAACTTTTTGTCTCTTCAGATGTTTGTCATAATTTCTGTTCATCACATAGAAGAATAATATTTACTGTGGTGAGAATAAGCTGAACTGCACATTTTATTTGTAAATAAAATGAATAAATATTTTGCACTATATTTTTGAATGCTACTTTGAGGATTATCATATACAAAAAGTGAAAAATCATTAAAACTACTTAAAAATCATCAGTTGCATTGAGTCGTGCTTTTCCTGTTGTAATATTTGAAAGGATTTTTTCCTCTAATGACTAAATCAACATCTTTACACAGAGCTGGAGTGTTACTTTCTTGAATGTGACACGTATAAACACACATGAAGTATCATGTTGTGCATAACGTGGTTAAGTGTGTACCTACAGTCTCTAACACAGAGAGACATAGAGAGAGACCTGTTAACTACTGTGGATTGTTGCAGAGTTGGAAAGGGAGTCAACTTCAATTGCCCTTAAAAAAATGAAGGTAACATTATAGTATGTTCAAATTTACAGTATTTCAAAATATTTACAATACTTACAAATAAAGGTAAATCCAGTGAACTTTTTGCTGAAAACCTGGTGAGACTATATTTTCAGTCATTTCCTAGCTTACTTTATTATTATCACAGAATAAAAATTTCAGTATATCTACCAGTCAACCAATCTTTATAGATTACCAAACATCTTAACATTCCAACTAATACAAGCTGTTATGGTAAACTGACTCAGATTTTGGAGAAATACTCTTGGTATCTGTGTTTTGAAAGAGTGATGATACTGCTGCACCCTTGAACAAAGACTTAAGTGGAATGGGGCATGGATTGAAAGAGGTGTCCCTGTCCTGATGATTTGCTGTCCAATTGGTTTGATCTTGTTACAAGGGTTCCAGACCTGACCTTGGGTATCTTTACCCAGGGTAAAGGCTGGAATGCAGGGTTGTCCTTGGAGATGGGCCATCTCACAGAATCTGGCCCCTCATTCCTGTGCTTGCTTTGATTCTCTGACTGTCAGGTACACCAGTTGCGCTGCTGTAGGAGCTGGTGGGGAGAGAAAGTGAAGGAGGCCTTGGCAAGGGATGGAGTAAGATGGCAGCTGGGGCACAGCAGCACCAGCCTGCGTAAGCCCACAAGGTCATGTAAATGGAAGCATTAGAATAGCATGGTAACTGTAGCCTATGGTTTTGTTATTGTGTGTCTGTGGAAGGCAATCATAATAACATAATACTGTGATACTTAATTTACTGACTTGATCCACAAATCACTGACCTTTTCCTCTGGTATGCAAATAACAGTTTTTAAAGCTCATTAAAAAAGCAACTCTTCATTATGTGTACCAAAGATGCAGCATATGTGGTGCCTAGGCTCAGTACATTAGGACTGCCTTGTAAAACTCTTCACAGTCTGATAAATTTAACTCTTAAAACTCAAATATAATTTCAGATTGTAATTACAAAACTATAGTTTTAATTAAGACCTCTTCAGATTTAGTTTAACAATATGATTACTTCTCAGGCCTAGTATTATTTCAGAGATTGGTATAGAATAAGAAGAAACATTCTTCTCTGCATCCCTGTTTTCTTTAGCATCTTCTGATAAATTATTGTCTACTGTACTCCATTTCTACTCAGACATACGAAAGCTTTGCCATAATTTCTATTTGTAATTTGTATTTGTAACTGCTAGCATGCTTGGTAGAGAAGCAAACTGCTCATGAGTGAATGCCTGTCACCTTTAGGCCTATCAGAAAAGAGAGAGTGGAGATGATCTCATGTGGTGGAGAGATTAAGAATCTTTGGTTGCTTTTAAATTTTTTTCTCACAAGTGAAATTGAAAAAAACCAAAACATCAAAAAACCCCAAGTAAAACCAAGTATTGCTTAATGAACATGGTTTTTGACCATTTGAAATTTTCTATCTGGCAACTATTCAAAACATTCATACTCTGTGAAGTGTTGTCTCCTGCATTTTGACAGCTCTCTTAATTAAAACCTAAACTGAAATCTTGCTGAGAATTCAAAGTTGTTTTTTTTTTGTTTTGTTTTGTTTTTAAACTGTGCATACCTTTCCTGAGCTGTATGGTTAGTTGTGATTATGTCATTAAAAACCAAACCACTAAAACTAATAAAATCTAGTTTAGTGTTTAAATGACTTAATAGGCTACCTAATTGTTTAAATACTCCTGGAGGAAGAAATATGAAAGAGATAGTTCTAATGTGTAAAACCAAAATAACAGAACAAAAAAACCCAACCCTAAACAAAGCAAAACTATTTGATACCCCAGTCGACTTTAAAACATGCTAAAAGTACACATACTTGATACAACATCCTTGCTAGGAACCAGTATTTTCTTGACAGAAAAACTACAAGGTTTTTTATGGTACCACCCAGAATATGTCTGACCATTAAATCCTTTGAGTGTGTAGGCAGTGCTGTTTAAACAGAATTTCAGTGTGCTAACTGGCTTCTAAGTCAGAATACTACACTTCTTCATTGCCCACCTTCACAACTAAGTCTGGCTAATCGGGAGTTGTTAACAGCTCAGGCAAAAGTCAGTACTATTTTGGACAAATCAATCTATCTGTCTGCAACAGTTTGCTTCTGTGGACAATTTTATATCTCCCTCATAGCGGATTTAAGGACTGGTCTTCAAGAAAATTGTAATTGAAAATGGTATTGTTGCGGTGGTTTTTTTTAATACGTAAGAAAGTGATAGGACTTTACCTTTGTTTTGAGGTCAGAATCTACAGTCTCAAACTCCTCGATGGAAAATCAGTTCCCAAGCACCTATGTAGTGCTTCTGTCAGAGTACACAGAGTACCTGTGTACTACAAAAAACTAAACTTGCCATGCAGAGGTACCAGAAGCACCATGACTGTACTAGCCCATCTTTCTGTCTGGGGTAATTAGCCCTGCAGGGGTATGCCCTGCAAGCTGCGAGCTAATTCAGAGATTGCTCTAAAGCTCAGTGTTTTATTTGTTGGCATGCCCTTTGTGTCTTACTTTCCACTCTTAAAATATTTTTGGCTCAAAGGAGATTAAAAGTTAATTCACTGGTGTTTTGTAATGCATATAAATACACGGCCAGAATTAAGGTTGCATGGGCAGCATTAAAAGACATTTTTAAACTTCTGAGTGTTTTTACTTAACAATCTTACTAAGTCACTTAATTAATTTTTTCACATGTAGAAAGTCTCCAGCTCATCAAACTAAATGTTTTAAAACATAACTTTAACTAATTAAACAAAAAAGGATTACACATGTAACTAACCACAAATGGTATCTTTCAAGGATAATTTAATTTCTGTCACATGTTGTCTGATACATCCTGGTTTAAGACTTGCAGCATTTTGTGCTTCCTGGGGGCTAGAATTACTCTGTAGTGTAAGCGGGTTTGGGTGTCTCCTTTTAAGACATCCATCAGCTCATTTCAAGATAATAACCTTTTGTAGTTGTTACATTGTTTGAACTAGTCATCTTCATCTAAAAAGAAGCCAATCAGCCAGCAATTAATTTAACTGTTTAAACTTATTTAATAGATGTAGCTTGCAAATCAGTCTAGCATTTGTCAGTAGGAAATCTTGTACATAATCTTTGTTAACGTTATTACTTAAGAAAAATATAAAGCAACTTACAGCTGTTTCTGTTTCTAACCAAACCATTTCTATTTGGTTAGTAACATAATTATTTTTATTACTGTTCTGATATTTCAAGCTACTGTTCCTCAGCACTGTCATCATTAAAATTCTAATTTCAACTTTGTAGCTGAAGCTTTCACTGAAATCATCGAAGATGGGACAAACCCCATTAGTTGAATACACTTGCAAGATTTCAGAGGTTAAACACTTATGGTCTATGCATAATCAATGTGTATGGTAGTGCAATTAATGTTAACTTTAATGAAATGCATGAATATTTAAAACTTAATGAATCTGGCTTTACAGCATGCTTTACAGCCTGGTTCACATATGTGAACAGTATTGACTGTTGTCCTCTGGATGTCAGCAGTGTATCATGAAATTCCTGTAATCAGCTGCTGTTTTCCTGCTTCCTCCCAGAAATATCTGACTTGTGGTCTCTGCACACCTCCAGAACACCCAGTTCTTTTTCCTCTCATAAATTATTCACTTAGTCTGTACCAATTAGTTCTACCAGTTGCTAGGTTTGTTATCAAGTTAAGCTTCAAGACAAGAACCTGAACTCAATGAGTGATTAAAAATTTATTAGCAGAAATGATTAAATATGCAGATATTCTGTGAGGCTTGTTCTTGAAACCATTATATTACCTTTTTAATACTAATGATTTGTATAATTAATTTTAAAAAAGCCTGAAAGTCTTTTTAAAAAATCAGAGTAGGACATAAAAGAGATTAAATGCAGAGGAGGTGGTGAGCCTGAGTATTAAAACAGCTCATTCACATGTATAGGCAATAAAGTGATTCCATTACAGGAATAGTTTGTGGTTTTTTTCCCCTCTGCTAAGTTGATTATTTTATTAATCTTTTAAGCAATTTGGGAAAACTTTATCCACTAGTGAGTCATATTTTTGAAATAGAACTTTATGTGATTAGCCCTGATAATACAGATGATTCTCCTAAACTTTACAGTTAAAAACTAAACCGTATCAAGATGTGGTTTTCACAACATTTAAGCATGTGTGGGAT